TCTTAGAGTAAACAAAAAAATAATTATTTAAGTAAATTTATTTATTAATTTATTATAATAATGAAAATAGCAAATTTGTAATACAAAAAAAAACATATATTTTCATTATTTTCAATAAAAAATTCAACTAATTAAATAAAATGTAAATTTATTTGTTTCATAAACTAATTTCAATAATTTTTAGTTATCTTTCAAAAATATTCCAATTTATTAAAATTATATGTGAAAACTAACGTAAATCTAAATTTGACTTTCTAATGTAAATTATGGAATAATGAAAGTACTAAAATTTGAAAATTTACTGATTAAATTTTAACATTTACTTTAAAATTTAAATTTAAAAAAAAACGTATTTGAGCATACAATAGGAAATTCAAAGTAAGCTATTTCATAACCAATGATTATTATATATTTATTCATTACCTAACATTTCTCTCTATTCGTTACATAACTAAATCCATATCCAACTTGACTGATTTCATTTCAGTGATATAACATTAATTATAATATTGCAAAATTTAACATAAAAGATTGAAATTTCTATATAAAAATAACAAAAAAGCAAAGAAGTTTTTTTTCGAAATGTATGAAAATTTGAAAATTTTTTATTGAACTGAAACCATTCCTAAAACGTATTTTTTTTATTATAATTACAGTTTTATCCTAGAAATTATGAAATTCAACGGTCAAACAGACATAAGTTAAAAAAGAACATTTAATCCATTCTTTAAATGGATTTGTTTTATTATGTCATATTTAATTTACAATCTTATTCCTGCGAACATTAATTAAATTTAATTGGCGGTAGACATTTGTTTTTTGGTAAACTTTTTACATTATATTCTTCTGTAATTTGTTAGTTGGCTGTCGTCTTGTAGGTTAGCTTCAGTAGATGCTCTGCGATTCCACTATTTCCTTTACTATCCTTAACACTGTCATTGTCCATCGACTTTGCTGAAGGTCCATATGCAAAACCTCATTCATTTGACTCTCCATATGTGATGAACGATGGCCCTATTGCTGCAAGCACCGAGAGGGCTCACTAAGGGCCTGGCTTGACCAGGATTCGAACCGGCGCCCATGGAATCATGGGTGTCCCACGATTCCGTGTGCTACTTAACCATTCGGCCTAATCGATTTACAAGTAAATTTATTTGTATTAGAAATAACACAAACATTTATTTAAATGAATTTCTTATTAATATATTACTTTCGTAACTGTAAATATTTGATTAATTGCACATCTTTCACCGAGATGATTAAATCACGTATGAATCAATAATCTTGCATATGTTAATTCCAGAATATTGCATTCCATAAGTGCTCGAAGATGTTTACATTAAAATAAACAAAAATTGTAAATCGAAAACATGTTTCATTCATCGATTGGTGTCGTGTTACGTTTACAATTGCTTTTTTTTTAAAGATCCATCACGAAAAACAAAACACATTCAACATTATGTAATAAGAAGAAAAAAAAAGATAGAAAAATATGAGACTCGAACATGCCGTTACCTGTTTATTTTTTTTAATTAATTGTTTTTGTCTACATATATTAACTACTTGTTTTTCTTTCATTCTCTTTATTTATTTATTTTTTGCTTAGATTCACACAATATGTAAATTAGTCTGCAACCGAAAATGACGTCAAACTTGTTTTGAATACGTACACATTTCGTATTCCGAGTGAATTCCATATTTGTACGTCGATGGAATTCTTCAGCAATCACATTAAAACATATACACGCACACACACCCACAAAAAAAAAACAAAATAACAACAAAAAAAAGTTGAGAAACGAAAGAAAAAACAATATGTGATTATTATATTTTTGTCATTTCAATCCAAGCGGGCTTCGTAATAGGATGAGGCTCGTTGCATAAATCTAAGCAATTCGATTGTTCGCACTAAAAATCTGGTACATCTAGATTTGCGAAACGTAAAGGTTTATTAGATAAAATTATACAATTTTCAAATATTCAACTTTATAATAAAAACAGATTTATATAGACTTAAGAAATTGTAAATAAATGAATAATTCAGAAAACAAATCAACAAACAAAACAACCGAGAATTCTTTTTTTAATTAGAATTATGAATCAATGCAAGATTACAATTTGATTACGTTCCTTTCCAATTGAATATTGATTCATTGACCGAATCAATTGATTCATTTGTTTATAATTAAGTTCAATAAATGAGAAATACACGCACAAATATCAGCGTTTTATTTCTTATTATCATTTCGATATGAGAAAATAAAAAACAGATAGAAAATGCAATAATTTCAAGAAAATAATAACTATAAACTATGTGTGTTGTATAGACAAGCGTTATTTAACTTATTTTGATCTACGGATCTGCAAAAATATCAGAAATTTAACGTTTAAGATGGAAATAAACAATTTTTACAAAGAAATTTAGACATAAAGTAGAAGCTGCATTTTATTAACTTAAAGCGAAAAATTGAGCCAAAATCAAAATATCACCTTAGAAAATGTCTACAGAAAATAATCATAGGTTGAAGAACACTGGTATAGACAGTAGCCAATATATTAATAAAAAAAAACATCAACATGAAAATACATGATTCATGCAGTGAACACTTTTATATTCTCTCAGATTAAATGTTCAATTTTGAAGTTATCCAAAAAACACTTTCATTTTTTATTTAAGTTGGCTCTAATTATAAAACTGTATTATTTCTATTGTTTAAATGATTGAAAATGTGTAATTAACAAATTTCTTTATTTGTTTGTAAAGTTTACAAAGCAAAATATATCTTCGTAGGCGGATGGACGATCAATTTAATCTTTGCAATTTGTATTATTTTTTTGTTCGTTTTCTTATAAAACATGAGCGATAAAAATATATGTACTTATTTACTTCTCGTTCGCTGTGAAACAAGTTTCTTTCGTCGCGAAAAATAAGTTATTTATTTTGTCGATTTAAGTCGATATTCGATTCCGGTCTTTGCTTATTTGCTAAACTCGTATGTATACTGTGGGCAGATAATGTCTTTCCAACTGTTTCGCAATTATTCATTACGTTTCGTATTCGGTACGGTTATCTTTTCTTATTTTTAGTTTCTTTCGTTTATCACGACTTTGTAAGATAAGTTGCGGTAACCAAATTATGTTTATCTAAAATTTAGTTTCAAAATGTTGAATAAAAAAGAAATGAAGGAGAATCTGTTTACGAATTAGTGTAAAGTAGAAAATTAGCAAGTATTAGACATCGCGTGGCGTTTATTTATGAGATAATCAAAGATTTGTTATTAATTCATTGCGTTTTCTCGGTGATTGCATTTCAACTCGCGAAATAAATCACTTTTTGTGAGCGGACTGTAGTGGGGAAATACGTGCAACGACGGGAAGTTGGAAACAAACAGTTTCGGTGTCCACGCTTTGGCCGTGATTATGAAAGTCGTTCGATCACCTACGCTTTCCACAAAAGAATGAACGGCATTCGCAAATCTCCATCGCGAATCATTTAACGTGAATTTAACTTGACCTTAAAACATCGGAGAAACAGTCGAAGGCGACATCGGCCAAAATGTATTTTTGGTCAAATCGATGAACGATTGCCAAAAGTTGAAAATCGAGACGATAAAAAAAAGATTTTATGATGAGTTCGAATTTAAAAAAAAATCGTTTAACGTACGTTCGATGATACGTACATGATTATGTATTTACTTAAAATGTCTGGATAAAATGTACGTTCGTACGTACATCAAGTATGTTTGTGAGTATTAGTTTATTAGATCCAATTAGTTAAGACTAATTAAGATTAATTAAATATACGCGTCACTGTATTCATTTAAATATTAATTAGTTGGCGCATTGTTTTAAGACAATTGTAGATCTGATAATTGATCAAATAACCTAAGATTTGGCATGTGTACGTTCGTACGAACTTCAAGTACGTCCGTGCAAACGAAAAAGCCAATTGTATTAATTATTGAAACTTGAAACATTTCAAGCGAAAAATGAGTTTGTAGCAAACAAAAATGAATAAATATTATATAAACTGTTGCATATCAATCGAACTGTTAGTTTTTTAGAAATCACGTAGATCTGATAATTAATCGAATGTAATAGTGTTTGTTCTTTCGTTTTAAATATTGATTAGTTGGCGCATTGTTTTAAGACAATTGAATAATTAAATCATGTCGATTGATTAATTTGTTCATTAAAATTGAGTAAATCCGTTAGTACATATATAAATTATCGCAGCAGTTTTTTGAAAAACATGTAGATCTGATAATTGATCAAATCACCTAAGACTTGGCATGTGTACGTTCGTACGAACTTCAAGTACGTCCGTGCAAACGAAAATACCAATTGTATTAATTGAACTACATTTAAAGCGAAAAATGAGTTTGTAGCAAAGAAATATGAATAAATATTATATAAAATAACTGTTGCATATCAATCGAACTGTTACAGTTTCTTAGAAATCAAGTAGATCTGATAATTAATGGAATGCAATAGTGTTTGTTCTTTCGTTTTAAATATTGATTAATTGAGGCATTTCGAGGCATAAATATTGAGTACGTTTGTGCGAACACAGACACTTTGCTCAGTTTATAATTGTGTCACCTATGAATTGGTTGGTGTACGTTCGTATGAACTTTAAGTACGTCCGTGCAAACGAAAAACTATGTATATTAATTATCATTATCCTAAATAAGTGTTGATTATGTGTAATTCGTTGAAATTAAAGCAAAAGAGAGTTTGTAACGTAAACAAAATTATGTTAGTTTTTCGTATAAATCAATATTAACTGAGGTATTTCAACGTGTGCACATTCATATGAATGAATATTGAGTACGTTTGTGCGAACTAAGATACTATTCTTATAATTGTGTACTTTCTATTATACTCAAGACACGACGAGTGTAGGTTTATTTGATTTTGAGTACGTTCGTGCGATCTACGTGTTAAATTGTGTAGAGGAAGAAATTAATGAATTATTGTTGAAAAAAATAATATATTAAATTAGTAATTTCGGATCAGACAAAATGCTGCAACTTATTGGAAATCGCGTAGATCTGCTTGGACTGCTCCCTGCTGATCTTGCCTTGCCTCTGCAGCTTCACCAGAAGCTTAACTTGATGCTGAATCAAATCCAACGCATCCTGCGCAGCATCATCCTCGATCCTCAGCTTCTTGGCTGCACTCTCCATAAATTGTTCATCCTCCTCCTCGTTTGCAGTCGCATCCTGCTGCTTCGTTTCAGCGCAAACCACACTGGATAAATCGAAGCTATCACCACCGACCTTGGTCTTGAAAACAGCGTACGCTTTATCCAAGTACAATTTCATAACCCGGCAACGATCCTCCGTGCACAACTTCACCAATCTCCACGCGACGGGCACCATATCCTTCTTCGCAATGTTAATTAACATTCGGAAAACGATTACCTTCATGTGCGGACCGAAAATCAGCGCTTTTTCCAGATGACCGAGAACCTGAGAAAAGAGACAAAAAAAATACTGAATTTAATTTACGCAACAATATTTTGTGTTAAAAATGTTGCCAACAATGTTTCGCTGCCCCCTAAATTCCAGGATTCAGTACATAATTGCATTACAAGCAATTATTTATTGACTGTTTGTCGGGCAAAAGGCCAAAACAAAATCAATTGCAAACGATAAAAACTGTTGTTATTAAGCTACAAAAATATGAAAGATGGAATGCAGTTAACTCTATAAGAATGTTTTGGTGTTTATCTTGAATTCGCACGTTCTTCAAAAAAATGGGACGAATTTGATATCGTCGTTCTAGCTCAAAAAGAAAACACGCATTATATTCCCTTATTATTGTCCTACATTTTACCAACTATTTACAGCGTAACCTTATATTACACATAACCAGTATTTTGTTTAGATTTAGTTTACTTTTTACAAATTATAATTTAATGCTTATTTGTTGAGTGTTAAAACTGATTGGACGACTTTACATAAAGCAGCACTTGACACTGATACATCGCATTTACTTATTTTCTATTGATAAAGTAAAAAAAATGGGTTTTATTGCTTGTTATTTGTTGTTGTTAACGGCGGCAATACGCCTCCTCCCATGGGTGCATTTCCATTCCAGATGAAACATTTTCTGTATAGGATCTAGTATCAAAATGAATCAAACATGAATGTAATTTATAATATGAAACATCATTCGTTTCGAGCCATTAGACTGTTTCATTTTTACCGATCAATTTACTTCGCAATAAAACGAATCCATTATGCGGCTAATAACAGCGACATTCTTTAATTAGTTTCGATTTTTTCGATAAAATCGCTGAAAGCTTTTCAGTAATTTACAAGCCGCATTAATATTGAGAGCAATTAATAAATCTATCTTTCACTTAACGAAATTTGATGAAACAATACAGTTTTTCAATATATTTAAAAAAAAAGTGCATTTCTGATTTATCCTGATAAAATTCGACAATTCGTTGAAAGCTTGAATGCAACAATTAAACTGAAAAATTGACATCAATTAGTAATTGTAAATGAAAACCATCTGGATACATCGCTGAAAGCTTTTCAGCAATTTACAGACCTCATCAATGTTGAGAGGAATTATTAAATCAATATTGGTTGCAACGAAACAATCAAGTTTTCTGCTGAAAATTCGACATTGTTTTTGTTTGTTTTTAATTGAAAAATTAACAATATATCGATAAATGCGTTTGTGATTTGCTAAACGTTTCTCATAATAATCAACAATTAGGTGAAAGCTTTCAGCAATGCACAACAAGCCGCATCAATATTAAAAGTAATTAGTAAATCTATATTTGATGTAACAAAACAATCAAGTTTCCTGCTGATAAACTATATTTTTTGAGAAAGAACAATACGGATATTTTATATTTTTATTTTTTAATTGAAAAATTAACAGTTAATCAATAAATAAATGAAGAATTAATGGTGCGTTTCTTTTATGGGCATTTGGAGATGAACGAACGAAAAAAAGAAAACGCGTCGAGATGTTTTTCTAAGATGAAAATTGTTGCAGTGCAAAAGCGATTTGTTTCATCATTTGTCGAGTGTTGAGAATCATGGGCGCACATCCTCCGTTCCAACCAGAATACGCCTCTGCTCACCCCAAGGACGACGAATTTAAATAATTTATTAGAGAAACTGTAATTCCTGCTGCAATATTGATAGCTGTACACCCGTGACATGCGGAGCCCATTATGCACGTGTCCTGGAATACCCCCACATTAAGCCAAATTGATTGATACCAGCTTACTGTTGCCTCTTGTCTCTCTCCTGCTGCTGCTCCACAACAGCATCAAACACAATCATCTCTCCCATAAACCGCATCACTTAAGTACGTACCACTTCTCATTTACTTGCTGCGATTGCCTTTCCTTTCATCATTCCATCATCATCATCATCATCACCCATAACATATCATTAAATACGACATCGGAACTTTTCCAAAATCAAATCTCTCGCTCCGCAAACCGAAACGCATCTTCAAATAACCATAACATTATACTTTTACCTCTGATCTACTACACAAATATTGAATTTTTCAGCATTTACACTAACAGCAGATGTGTGTTTTCTGATTTACAAATTCCTTTTTTATCTTTTCTAAAATGAATGTCACTAAAAGATTAGATGTAAATAATCTACTTGAATAAATTGCGAATAAGGGATCTCTTAGAAACGGTGGACTATAGTAAATATACGTCGTTTACGTCTTAGAATGAAAACAGAAAGTTTTCACTTTAATAATTTTATCGTAAACATCTTCAATTATTTTCAAAATCGTTAATCAAAATTATTGAAAAAAAAAATATACCTTGTCATAAAAGAAACGTTACCTTATAATTTTGACGCATTATACATGGACTGAATCTTTTTAAATGAAAGAAACATTGCAATTTCAAATCTTCAATTATGATAAAAGTTAACCAATATCAATACACCAATATCTCATATAGTGTGGTGAAACTGGACTAATCGAGCATTGTATAACGAACATTTATATATAAAAGAAACATTTGTATACTGATATTTTAGAATTTATTTTTTATTTTGCTCAATTAAAGGACTGATCAGGACTGATCGAAACATGTAATTGCTATGTTTAAGTAACTAAAATGACAATGATTGAAATAATAAAATAAAAAAATCTAATGTCATAAAAGAAGCATTACTACTATATTTTGCAGCCATTTTTGTTCTGTTTAAGTTTTACCAACTTTTATTTTTTGATGATGTTTTGTGGACTGTCTAATTATACTATTCAAAATCTTAGTAATTCGTTATTAAATTTATGAAAGAAAAAAAAAACGTTTACTTTTGTATTGATCGACCATTGAAAATGTCAGTTTTCAAATGCAAATAAAAGTTACTGAACTTGTTTCCATACAGTCCACTAACAATGTATCCACAGCTGAACGAATACCATAGAATTTGTATATTAAACGGCGAATAATTGTAGAGTTGAGAACCTGTTTTGCTTAGTCGCTGTAAAACACTGCGATTACAATTTCGAGTGTGCAATTTTGCTCTTAAAAACTTAAGGCATAAACTGTTACACTTAACCATATTCAGGTCATATTAATTATATCAAAAACCCACATTTTTTTGATATCACATTTATTTACTCTTACATCTGAATTTGATTATTTATGAAAGTTAACTAAATTACAGTAGAAATGAAATTAGTGACTAATTAGAATAAATACTAAATTTTATAATTAAAATTGAAATAAAATGCAAGTTCCGAAACGTGAATACAAATAAAATAAACATTAATGAATGTAAATAATGTAATGTTAACTAAATAATGTATAGAACATAAAAGCTTGTTTCAATGCACGCTTTCAACTACATTTAAAAACGAAGCAACGCTTCGTATGAAAACACATATTTCACTGCATTTTCCATGCAATTATGCATTGCATGCGTTAATAAATACGAGGAATTTGGTAGCGTATTATTTTGAAATATCCGCAGGCGATTTTACGATTCAATAGAACGGCTTCAGGGGGGGCCCTTTGAATGAATATGCGACCCCTCGCATTCGAAATCAAGGACATTCGAACCCCGTTTGTACAGAGAGACCCAAAAGTAACTGGCAAAATGTACAAAACGTCAATATTGCAAGTACAAATTCGAAACGCACTAAGCAAAAATTAAGTGACTAATGGAGAGAGAAAAACAATAGAATAAATTAACGGTGAAGGCATTTGTTATAAATAGAAAATGTTTGTTAATAGTAGATTAGATGTCGCTCCAATTTACGTCCTTTTTGCACTACACGTAGAACATGCGACAATTCATTATTATCACTTTGGAAGAACGAAAAGAAAAAGTAATAACAAAATGTGTTTATGAATATAAATAAATAGTTCGTGCTGAATGTAATTATAGAGTTGTGACTACGTTCATTATTCAGAATTACAAAAGGGAACAGCACTATTTTAAAGGAGCAACAAAAGCTGTTTTCTTTTCTTCCTCAGCTGTTTCGGTCGTGGGAAAAAAATAGTCTTCCTTCCTAATTAAATCTCAGGTTATGAAGATGAATGTACCTGGTGAAAGCTTACAGAAGATTTCCGTCCGTACGACCGAGAGAGGTTATTCCCGATGACTCACGTCTCGATGTCACCTCGAAATTACTTCAAAATACCCAATTCGTGCAAAAAGTAGAAAAAAAAACTTGTTTTCTTTCTATTACTTTTTTTTTTCTTAATATTATTATCATTCGCATTAGGTATTCCCAGTAAGTAATTCCAGCTGACTGGTTCATATAGAAAATTCCTGATTGTTGCATATTAATAAAAAAGAGAAGATTTCATGGATTCGTTAATAAATCACGAATAATCATATTAATATTAACATATTTAGAAGCTTCTAAACCATAAGCTTCAAACAGTAAAACGATTATGTAACATTTAAAAACAGAGCAATACCTCACACAATGCGGTCCCGTACTAATCGAAGATTTGTTATAAACATTTATATATAATAGCCATATATTTCCGTATTTTTCAATTTATTTACTATATTTAAGTAACTAAAATGATAGTAATTGATATATTAAAGTAAAAGTTTAAAAAAAAATCATATGTCATAAAAGAAGTGTTACTACTTTATTTTGCCGCCATTTATGTTTTGTTGAGGTTAAGTAATTTTTTATTTGATGATGATACACTGTGAACTATCTAATTCTTATTTCTCAACATCTCAATAAATCGTTAATAAATTTAGAAGAGAGAAAATGTTTACATTTATATTGATCAAAATTTCAAAAGTTTTCAGATGCAAATAAGAATTACTGAACTCGTTTCCACACAGTCCACTAACAATGGACAACTAACTTTCTATTACTTTTTTTTTTAATATTATTATCATTCGCATTAGGTATTCCCAGTAATTAATTCCAGCTAACTATTTCATATGGAAAATTCATGATTGTTGCATATCAATAAATAAGTGAAAATTCAGGGATTCATTACTAAATCACAAATAATCACAACCACAAGCCTCAGTTAGTAAAACGATTAAGTAACATTTAAAATCTGAGAGGATCTCGCTATATTTTCTGTCATTATTTCAATAATTTTATATAACATACATGATAATACATTTTAATTGTTTGTGTTTGGTTTAATTAATAAACCAATACTTGATTAATAAATTGTTTCTTCTACAATTTATATAATTGATTGGCATTTGTTTTGTTTTTTAATTAATGAAATCTACATGATTTACAACAGTTTTAAGTTATAGCAATTATTATACTTGTATTATTTTTATTTAAATATAATAAGTTTGAACGAATTATTATAATAATTTTAACATTATTTAATTATAACAATGTTATGTTTTAATTATTGAAAAAATATACAGGATTTATGAGTTCAAAGTCTAGGTCAATATCAAATATTTGCACTCGAACATTCTGTTTTCTTTTCATCAATTTATAATTATAACTTTTATTATTTCTTTTTCCAATTTTTTTTCATTTAAAACTTAATTAGTTTCGTTCAATATTTCAATAATTTTAACATTATTTAAAAGATAAATGTTTGCCTATAAAATAAAAAAATAAATTAATATCCAATATTTCCACTCAAACGTTCTGTTTACTTTTCATTAAAAAAATATTTTACCTTTATTTACTTTCCATTTTTTTCATTTAATATTTAATTAATTTCGTCCATTATTCAATTCCACAGTTTGAAAATTCTTTAATTAATTAATAATATATACTTTTATTATTACATTACATTATTACATTAATAAATAAAAGATCAAAGAAAGCTCATAAAATACAAAACATATGATCGATTCGTTCTTTTTTTTTAAATGACAGTTTTCAATTGCATCAAAATTGATTTATTATCCAATATTTCCCAACACGAACGAACCAATAAAATATTATTTTGTTTTTTTGAGCTACTTGATTCATTTCAATTTGTATTTTTTTCACTGTTGATATATCTTTGAAATGGTCACAAAACTACGTATTAATTGAAACAATAAATTGCATAATTACATCGATCAGCATTTGGTGGAAATTGTGTCGATGATAATTTCGTCGCATCGGCAATAAATTGCATTCGTTACAACTGTACACTTTCGTAACATTTAATTCATATTAGTATGCAATTATATAATAAGTCGTTTCGTGTATACATAAAAAAGACAACCAACCATAATAATAATGTCTCAGTAAATAGAAATAAAATGTTCTGTGCATTCGATGCATGACCCAATACATGCGAAGCATTACCCTATTCATCGATTCAGTTGAATGACCTAATTGCACTTTAAAATAAAATATGTAAAGAATTCATTTTAAAATCGTTATCTGCACGTAAATTACTATAAATGAAATGAATAATGAAATATTTAATTAATTTAAATACTACTACTATTCCCAAATACCGAAGTCAGCGTCAATTCAGTCAATTAGTTTGATTTCCCACTATTTAATTGTTCGCTCAATATATCAGAATTGTTAAGTACAATACAATACAATACAGCTTGTGTACATATTCTGAAAGGCATTTCAATAGACTTTAGAAAGAAGTTTTGGTTTGGTTCAGGTTGGTTTTTGTCTTGAAGATGGAAGAAAACAAAGTGTAGACTTTTATACTTTTCTATTACTGGAATGCTTAAAATACCAACAAACAATAACTAAGACATAAGCTTGTTGTGAAGAAGTTGCTTTAGCTGAAAGAACTGTGCGAAAGTAATTCGCTAAGTTTAGAGCTGAAAATTTCAGCTTTAAAGGTCTGCTAGTAATGATGATGAAATCAAGATGATCGAGAAAAACCGTGAATTAGCAGAAATTATAAATATAAAAAAACCTGATTTTTTAACATAATCTATTAGAATGTATGAGTTGCGCACGAAAATATCAGCCCTTATGTACCTTTTACTAACCCACAATAATTGTTGGAGTTAAACAATGATCTTCCAATTTCCACTTACTAGGGTCTTTGCAAAATCTCATTAACTGCAGGAACAAGAACAAAAAGACTAGGTAGTTTTTTTTTTTACTAAAATCCTTAAAGATTCTGTTTAAGTTGAGTAAAAGATGAAAAAAGGTGTATAGATCAAAATTATGTATACATAATTAAAAACTTATATATCGATAAAAGCGAAACTAATTCTCATTTTTAATGACTAATTCACGTGTTTTTTTTTCCTAGTTAGTGAAAGTGTTTAAAATCTTCGATTTCCGTTGCATACGTTCATAATTATCCTACTATTTTTATTGTGTTAAGTCTATATATTAAAAAAAATGCGTTCCATAAATTAACTAAAATATTCTAACGTATCTAACATTATTACGTATCTATTGTATTATTGTTACAAAATCAAATATAAATAAGTAATAAATCTGTTAGTCAGAATGTAATAAAAATAAATTTACTTTAAAAATACTAAATGTTAAAATAATATTTCTCTCTGTTTACTAATTTCCTGTTAAATACTAAACATAGATTTCCGTTTCTGTGTTAAAAATATTTCTTTTTTTTTTGCATTATAAATTGTCAATTTCTTAGCTAATATTAACTAGTCTATTACCCTCAGCGCCGCAGCAGAGGGGTGCAAGTAATGATTTCTTGAGACAGGTCTTGATCCCAAACTCAAGATTTCCTTACTTATTGAAATAAATCATTATATTGTTTCATTTCTTTATTACTAATGCTATACAATTCAATATAAATAGATAATGTAATTAATTTGATTGTTGGTAAGATTGTATAGTTGAGTAATTCAATGAAAAATTAGTCTTCTGATTATATAATAAAAGTGTGTTTCATTAAACTAATTAATGAAATACTGTATAATTTTCAATTTTACGTAGTTAATTAGGGTTTTGTGGTCATTATTGACATCGCTGCAATGATTCATGCGGTTTTCAATTTTGAATTTTATACTTTTTTTGTTAGTAATTATTATATATTTTCTTTTAAAGATAATCTCATGAAAGTAATAATATTTGTCTATAATTAAAGTTAATTTAGTTAATCATCGATTTCCGTTCATTTATACCAATGAATTTGTAGTTCATGTCGGATTTGGATGTTTGACGAAGAATGAATAAATAATTCTTTCAGTCGAGATTGTCGGCTCGTTGAAAAAGCGCGCACGTTCCGAGAATTAAAGAAGTCTAGTCTAGGTGGTCCGAACTGGTCTCAATTATATTTTTGCGAAGGAGGATTCTCGGAAATTCCTCCGCATTCCGAACCGAACCAAAAAATTCTGCCTGCGTCCGAAAGTGAATTGGAGTATCCTCCAAACGCAGGCCAACGACATATGGACGATGATGGTATATCCCCTGAGCCTCAATTGCGAGATCGATTAATGAATGCTAATGCGAATTACACGTTAATACTGTCCCCCTCGGCGGTCCGTTTCCTGCACCGAATACCAAATCGGAAATGTACATCCAACTTACCCAGGATTGATGCTCCGCCGGAAGCGCTACAAGCACCCGCGTCGTGAACAGACACAGGTTTTCCACGTAAAGACCAAAGTAGTCCTCGTCCAAATCAGCATCGAAATCCCAAAGAATCTTCACCGATTCGCACATCTTCGACTTATCACCATTAGACGCGATATTCGCGAGAGCAGTTAAAGAAAAAATCTACAAAAAAAAAACAGAATAAAACAACTTAATTGAAATCCATAATTAAGCAATTACCAAAGAGTTAAAATCTTCCGAACTTCTGGTAAAGTCACGATTATCGATGGATCTATGAAAATCGTTCAGACTCGCAGCTTTGAGGAAGCTTTTGGCTGCAGTCAAATGCTCGAGTCCGAGGACGTTCCAAACATGCATGTGAGCTTCCGGGGAATACTTCTCCAGCAACTTGACCTTCAGACCATTAGGTAAATTCTTGTGGAAATTCCTCAGCAGATTGCATAATTTTACTTGAGTTGGACTCGCCGACGTCGGCCTTTCCAAACTCATCTTCGAGATTACATTCAGAATAGTGTCGTAACTTAAAGTCGGTGGCGCATTCCTAAATCAAATCCAATTTATGCAATGAATACACGCAATAGTACATTACAATTACCTTAGAAGTAAAACCCAAATATCGGAAGCAAATAAACCAATTTCCGTGCTTCCTTCCAACACAGTATTGAAGAGCAACTCCTCAATGGACATAAATTCTTTATAACTCACCGATAAGATTCTCATCACGAAAAGACTAATTACGTTAGCACGTAAATCTGTTTCCAAATCTGCGATACACAACAATTCAATTTAATCACTTCAATTACATTCCTTAACATACCTTTAGTGAAAACTTTCAGAAAGATATCCAAATAATTGAACGCGAATCCTTCGTTGTTCGGACATTCGGATTTTGAGAAAACGTAACACAACAAATACACAAAACCACGTCGATTATTGCAAATTACTTCCAACTCGTCGGAACCCTGAAAACATCAATATTATACTTCGGTGTTTGCATTAAATATTTCATATTGATTCGAGTATTATCCTCAATCTGTTGACCCAAATTATATCTGGTAATATTACGATACAAATCACCATCAAAATCTAAACGGAATTAGTCAATATATAGAAATTATTCGACCATTTAGCGTTACACAATTCAATAAAACGATAATCATTGTTTTTTTTTTTCCCATATAATACAAGCTTAAATTGAAATAAACAACACATTATTATTCCTAGTATAAAATAATTCACTACAAATCTCTTCTTTGAAACTTTACCACTATTATAATTATATGTATATAGTCATGAGACCAGTTCTAAAATTAAACAGGGACAGGTAATTCCCTAATGTTAAATTCGTAAATGGTAAACATAGAAAAATAGAATTGATGATTTACGCAGACACGTTTTGTGACGCTCATTAATACCCACTATAAATAAAACATCGATTCACTCTGTACATTTCAAATACGTGTCACGCATATTTAATTATAAGTGAAACATTTCTAATAGAGATATATCAATTTACACTTCAGAAATAATCAATTTTAATTATCATATTTTGAACTTAAATCCTCGAAATCAATTGCAATTACGTTAATTAATTAATTGAAGTTTGTTGCAACAACTAAAACCAGACCCAATTTTCGTATCATAATACTCAGAAATGGAGTATTTATGTTTAAATAAACGGTGTTCATATATTAAATCAGGGGTCGGTCAATAAATTATTTAATAACTAAGAGTTACAATTATTCATTCGCGGGTTGCCCACACGTGGTCTGGGAACCGGGGTAAACTACCCTCAAATGGAGTAAAATTTAATTATTTGGTGGCAAAGAGGACGTTCAGCAATTAAAATTGTATATATCCCTGAAAAATATTGGAATTCGACCCATCATCAAAATGGGGTAAATATGTAAATATTTTGTGGTAATAGCTAAAAAAAAGTTTCCAAACCACTGTCTTAACGGTTTCAATCGCAAGCACGACAACCGAAATCCCGACAGTGTCTTTTAGTATTATAAATTTCTACAATAACATTTTTATGGTAGTCGGGATTTTGATTGTCGAGATTATGGTATTCGGGATTTCGATATAGTCGGGATTATGGTAGTCGAGATTTTGACATAGTCGGTCTAACTTAAAAGATAAAATAATAGGAAAAACTACTTTCGAGTACATTGGAAAAATCATAAAAAACATATTTACCAATTTCTCTTGATTCGCAAGAAATTTGAACAGAGCGAAATCCAATGGATGTAAAACGTTCTCCTCGATCATCCTAAACGTTTCTTTATCTCTGTTGAAATAACTGAAATGTAAAGTTATAATGCATCAACGAAATTAATTAATTAATAAATTAATTAAAAAAAAGTACCAATAAATGGTGCAGAAAAATTCGATCCAATATAAACTATTGCTTCCTGCGCTCCCATAAGTTTCAAATAGTTTCGAAGCTAACTTGACAAAAAAATTTGAAATCTTTAACGTCAGCAAATCCACCTTCTCATCATCACCATCCTAAATCGAAAACGGTTATGAATTTGTAAAGAATTTTCAATAGCGACGTACTTTATCACAAATTTCACGGATATTCTTGGAGACTTCGTTTGAAACGAATTTTAATGGTTTCGCTAAATTAATTTTGTCCATCACAATATTCGAATATCTTTGCATTAAAACCGAATAGAATTTCCAAGTATCCGCCATCGATTTCATATTGATTCCAATCAATGATTCTCCTATATCGCATATTAAGTCTAGCACTGCAAAAAGGATTAAAATCAACATTTACTTAATATCATATTTACAGCGTACTTTCTAATATAAAATCCTCGTCATCTAAATCCATGTGCTCATCTAGTAATTGCAAGAGGTGACGGTAAACCTCTTGAGCGGATTTAAACACGCTCTGTATATCCTGGATAGCATCGACGAACTGGTAAAGATGATTGCTGAAAATCGATGATTTTAGGAAACTCAAAATCGATAAATCAATTATACTCACTGCTTTTTGCAATGCGTGAAAGTTGAATTCAATATGTTGAAGACGTTTAAAGGAACACTGTAGATCTGTTGCAACTGCAAATGCTTCTGCTTTAAAATTGACCCAACAACATTGTCTATGGCATTGAAAACTTGTAAAACTACCTAAAATTGTTTAATAGTTTCAACTAAATTTATTTAACTAATTTAAAACTATTATACTTGTAAATAATCCTTGACTTCTGAGCATTGTTCATCACTGGAAGTCAGCAATTCAAGATTTCTTTCAAAGATCTAAAATATAGGAAACTTCTACAATTTGTAATTAAAATATTAAATTTCTTACACTTTGTACTAAATCATTTGCAGCTGGTAACAAGTATATAAAGACATCACTTTCTAAATCCTTAAATCTTACATCAGGCATAAACTTCTCCACTATGACCTGTATACATTGCAGCTTCTTGAGAATCAAGGTTTCTGTTTCTAAAATATCTTGTTTCAGGGCTAAGGAAATTTGAAGAAACTAATTTAAATTTGGTATTATTAATTTATTTGCCAAAGAAAAGGATATTGTAACATCTTTCAAGCTGCTAAACTCCACAAACTCCTCTGGGGAATAACTTTGAAGTGAATTTGGAGAATTCATTGCAGGATTATAATCAAGTTTGTGTGTGATATAGCCCTTAATTATTAAAATTTAAATTGACAAACATATCAAAGAGGTAAACATAACCAAAGCAACTAACGGAGCTACTGAAGCAAATGAACTTCCATGCGTTGTGAAGTAATAAAGTAATTATTTTTATCAAATAAATTCAACAACAAAATAATACACTAATATCATAAATTTAGTGCTATACAATGTATTAAGTATGTATTTGTAAATGCAGATTTTATTCAACAATCTAATTTAATTTGTAGTTTAGTGTTAACATAGTTTAGTTCAATTGCATTTCTTACTATAACCTACAAATTATAATTGTATGTGCACTTGTTCATGTTTGTAACCTTAAAAATACGAATTTGGTATGTTTTTAATAAAAAGCCTTATTAATATTCGACCAGCAAATGTTAATGTATATAAACGTAAATATTGCTGCGATTGTTGAGGAAAAATCAAATAGTTTCATGCACGTTTTCATTCAGATCTCACCAATAACTACAGTGCATTAAGCATGAGCGAAATCAAAAACACGATCAGGAAGGCGAGGTACGATGGAAGGACTAAGAAAAGGAAATGGGAAGACCGGAGGGCTGATCAGGGAGCTGGACTGGACATGAAACAGGCAAGGACAGAACCATTTGAACGCGTTAAACGAAGGAAATTTGCAGTCCTTATGGCATATTCAGGAGTTAACTTTTATGGAATGCAAAGGTATATATTATATAAATATAGGTGATTTTTGTATTGTGATGATGTTTGTTGTTAGGAATCCTCAAATGCCAACAATTGAAGAGAGCTTTTTCAATGCTTTGCTGAAAGCTGATTTTATCACACAAGATGGTTACAATCAAGTGCAAACTGTGCAATTCCAAAGGGCAGCCAGGACTGATAAGGGCGTCTCTGCGGCTAGACAGATTATTTCTATGAAATTACGTGAGTTTTTATAAAATAATTGTGATTCAGTTTTTCTATATTGATTGTAATTTGTAGCTGAGGCGTTTGAGATAGAGAAGGTAAATGAACATTTACCAGAAACTATTAGAGTGTTTGGTAGTAGGAGAGTTACCAAAGGGTTTAACAGTAAGGTGCAGTGCGATGCGAGAACTTATATGTACATGTTGCCGACCGTTGCATTCGCTCCGTTTGATGAGGAGGTGTCGCAGGAGACGTACACCTTGAGTGACGATCGTTACGAGAAGATCAAAGCGCTTCTAGGGAAGTTCGTTGGAACAAAGAACTTCCACAATTACACTTCGAAGAAGAGGTATAACGATCCGAGCGCGTCGAGGTACATAATGTCGTTCACGTGTGATCCTCCGATAAAGATAAACGGGGTTGAATTTGTTGTAGTCAAGGTGAAAGGGCAAAGTTTCATGCTGCACCAGATCAGGAAAATGGTCGGGATTACTTTGGCCGTCATCCGTGGTCACACGACGGAAGAGACGTTCGATAAGTCTTTTTTGAAGGAAAAGGTGAACGTTCCCCGTGCTCCAGGTTTAGGTTTAGTTCTGGAATACGTGCATTACGATAGGTATAATGCGCGTTACGGCAGTGATCACGACAAACTTCTGTGGGAGGAAGAAAACGAAACGGTGGAGGCTTTCAAGAAGAAGTACATTTATCCAACTATTGTTGATACCGAGATTAAGGATAAGGCAATGATCGACTGGTTGACATGCCTGATGATTCATAGGTACGATATACCAGATGAGACGGAGGCTAATGATGACGAGAGCGTCGAAAGTGGTGACGAAGTTGAAGTGCAGAAGAAAGACGAAGATAATATCAGCGACAATGACGGCAATAAAATTAGCGAGAACAAATGAGGAGATGTGTTTTTAACTCGAATCTTACGTATATTTTACTTTGTACTGTATCCAGGAACTTAGAGGTATTTCAGCTGTGATTCTAAAATACTTACATATATTAAATCAATTGTTGCTAAACGTTTATACAGAAAACAAAATCAAAATACTTTTTATTATGAAATGTATTAGGAATAATTACAAAATATCTAACATAATGTACTTTAGTCGTCTAGTTATGTTGATTTATTTAATAAAAGATGTAATATTCCTGATTTTTCAAAACTTTAGTACAATTAAGATATTTATACTTATCGTAGGCAACTTAAATAACACGCATGAAGCTAAGGAGGCGTCACAAGAATGAAATGTCCACTTAAGCCCAATACACACTTAAAAGTTCCGACAGAAATTCATTCCATTTTTCCTCAAAAATCTTAGAAAAAATCCATAATCCCAAGTACGTGAATCAGTTTAGTATTTTTTGTGTGAAAATTCGTTATGTCCGTTAATTTTTTTCTTTAGCCATGGCGTATATGTTTTTTTTCGGTTTTTAAATTCTTGTTGTGGATTGGTTGAGACGATTGCAGCGCATCCACAGTGCAAGGAAGACGCTCAAAATTAAATAATTTGTCTATTGTATCTTCTAATTTTCTCTTCATATGCGGACAAGATTGAAATCGAGTAGTAAATTATATTACATTTTGCTATCTTGTTACATTGATGCAAAATGGAATGTGTTTGTAATGAAACAATTTTGAAAATTCGCGAATATTCGTAAAGTGCAAGAAGAATGTATACAATGGTATACAATATCCAGACCGTTCAGCTCTTCAACATTAAGTAAGTTACATATTTGTTACTGTTATTTATAAGTTTTAAATTTATATTGTTTTATTGAGTTACATCAATACAAAATGTATTAACAATTGTTCTTAAACAATTGCTAATGTTATAAATAATAATAGTGTAGTGAAATTTTTTTTTCTTCACTCTTGGACAAATTTAGAATAATAAAATGTATGTATAGAAACGAGTGTAAGTAAGAATGTAAATTGACTGTTCTGATTTTTCAATTTTGATTATCAGATTAGAGTTCAACTTTAATCTTCTAATTTTATGTAACTTTTTATACACATTTTAAAATTATTTACAGATTTACGCTATCAAAAGTTAAATAATAAAGTTTGATTTGAAGAAAAGATGCAAACAATGCTTATTTAAATTAATGCATCCTTTTAATTCTCAATTTAATATTTAACAAACTTCATTCGCTTTGCCGCATAACCTAGAAATCTTAACAGAAATAGGTTAGTTTATATCAGAGATATTTAATAAGTTTTTTTTTATATTTGTAATATTAAATACGCAATGGCAAACGTACTAAACATACTTTTGAAAAACACAGCTCTGTGTCCTCTGAAACATGCAGTTAAACCACAACTTGTATCGTTATTTCAGACGCAAGGTGAGAATTATAACCTTACATAATTGTATTTGCCCCCATACAATGTCCTGTTTCAGTCCGAACGTTGTATTCAGAGTCAACTCTGGGAATAGATGGATATAAGGCTCAAAGGCTGAGGACACAGAATCAATTGTCAAACATAGCAGAGAAGTTCCGCACAAAGATGCATGATTACACAAGTGATGACTCGAAGAACATGATTTTTACAGAAGATCTTAAGAATATGATACATTTGGCTGAAAACGACGACGTTGACTTGATTATCAAGATGATGAATCGTTTCAATGAGCAGAATAAGCAGCTCAGATTTGGCACATTTGTTTTTGGGCCAGTCGTTATGAGGATGTTCTATTATTTGAACAAACCTGATGAGGCATTAAAGTGCTTCAAATCAGAGAACTTGAAGGGTTTCTTTGACCAATTGATCACATACCAGCTCTTGATGGATTTGATGTATAACAACCAGAGGTATCAGGATATTCTGGATCTGTTTGAGGATATTAGGGAGAGACAAATTGAAAGTACCCAATTCCCAAGGAATATCATAGTTCTCACATTAGCAGCTTGCTACAAACTGAATACAAAAGAGAGTTGGGACTTTGCGTTGAACCTTTGGAATAAACTGATGGAGGCTGGTCACATGCCGATGAGGAGGGCGGTCACATTCTGCGCGGCGCTTGCACTGAAACAAAACAATCCATCGGCATGTCTCGAGATGATCTCATCCGCAAAGAATCAGAACTACACGACCGTCAGGAATCTGAAGGTGCTCGCGCTCACGCAGGTTGGCAGAATCGAAGACGTCCTGCCAATTCTTAAGAGTGTTTACAATCAGGATGATTCGATGAAAAATCAAACGTTTAATGTGGACGTGATTGAACTGATCAAGGAGCAGGTGGAGAAGTTGGATAGCGTTGAAGTGAAGCAGGAATTCAGCAAGATCCACAGTTATTTGAAAGACAATCATATTTCAGATATGGTTAGTAAAAATTAGTTTGTTTGATGAGTTTGTTGATTTTAATTGGATTGGTATTTTCAGACTTTGGAGGAGCAACTTTGTTTGGAGATTGCCACACCACCATTCTTGGGCAACAAGAGGAACAACTACAACAATACGCAAGATATGCGCTACAATAGATTCCAAAGGCGAAACGACGATTTCACCAAGCGCAGGCCATTTGATTCCAAGAGGCCGGGATTATCCGATATGCAGTAGATCTGCAACATTGTCGTTATGTAATAATAAAATTATAATTAATTATTAGCTCATTGATAGATGATTTACCTACATCTTACTCGTAAAACACAAATTCAGTTTTGCTACTTGTGGTATATATAAATAAATACAAAATGGATTATGTAAAGGTAATTAGAACAATACAATTAACATAAAAATAGTTTATTTTCACAACACAGCGTAGTTTCCCTATGCCATTTTATGTGTATAAATGCAACAGTAGATGTAGATATATTTGATTTTTATTTAAGAAAATGCAGTTGTCAAGGGTTAAAAAGAATTACAAAATAAAAATAACAAATAGTAGTTAAAAAAGTAAACGGAATATTGGACAGGACTACTTCTTTTTCTTCTGCAACTTCTGCTTTTTCTTCTCTTCGCGTTTTCTCTCCCTCAGCATGAGCGATGAATATAATCTGTAGCCGAAGAACACTGTAACAAAGAAACAACGTCATTTAGGTACACTAATCTATGATCATTGAATTAGGGTTCCGGAATTGGTAACGTCTTACCAAATAAATAAAGAGCTACCAAAAGTAAGAGCATCAATATAACGAATGTCTTGTACATGTTGAATTCCAATTCGTACAAGATTCTGTAGTAACGGATCAACGTGTCTCTATCCTCTTGGGACAATTGGTCGAATTGAGAGACGAATCTGTTGATTCTTTCGTAAACATTTTCCATTTGATCACGAAAATCTTCCGGGGAGAATCTTAGTTCGCCTATTTGCGATTGAATTAAGTTCTGCGCCTCTTCTCTTAATTGCTGATCCATGATGTTGGGTGGATAACTCGAAAATGTTGCGATTCCAGGCAAAGTACGTTATTTATACCTGATGAGACAAAACCTTTTTTTCGTATTTATCTTTACTATTTTTAGAAGTTCTTCGGGATTCGCTTCGTACATTTTTTGCCATGTAAGTTTTTGCAATTTAAGAGATTAATATTTTTGCTTGATTCTTTCATTAGTCTTCCATTTGATCACGAAAATGTTTAAGAGAGAATCATAATTCGATTCCTACATTTTTTTCATTCAGATTAATATTTAAAACTGATATTTTTCAACTCTAAATACATAAAAATACTGCAATGATTCTCAATTCAACTTGCACATTTCGTAAATAAACGATTTACAGTTCATCCAATATATACTAACTATATTTCAATATAATCTAATTCGACTTACAAATATAGTATAATATATTTCAATCAATAAGTAAATTTTGAAAAATATGCTATAAATACAATTATAGAATGAAAGCTTTATAATTTATGAATACTTGTTAGGTCTGTCTTGTCCATTTGACCTAGGACTCACGATGTTTTTTTGAATTGGAATTCAAGAATACATATTCAAATATTATTTTAAAATGAATTCGATTTTGTATCCTTTACTACGTTGTAAGTAATAATTTATGTTGAAAAAAACATTTTCAATAAGTAAATTTTGAAAAATATGCTATAAATACAATTATAGAATGAAAGCTTTATAATTTATGAATATTTGTTAGGTCTGTCATATTCATTTGGCCTAGGACTCACAAGGTTTTTTGAATTGGAATTCAAGAATACATATTTAAATATTATTGTACTTAACTTGTATCTGGGGCCCACAACAACCATAATAAGGCCATGATATTAATATACTAGTATTTAGTCATACACAAAGAAAAATACGATGTCGATATTAGTATGAATAGAAAGTTTTCGATCCAATTATTACTAGAATGTAAACTTCTTATAAATATTGACTAATAATCTCATATTTTTCAATTTTGAAGAATTTGTGATTAAATTATTGTAATCATTAAAATGAGGATCAAATATTGTCGTTATCTTTGATTACGTGGTAATTTATTATATAAAAAAAAATAAAATTTTGAGTTTGTTTTGAAAAACATATGTTATGTGATGAGTGCAATTGTATTAATTTTTAATATAATGCTTGTTATATTTAAATAAGTGTATGTAAATATTAATATTTAATATGTGCGAGTTGAATTGAATGTGAGAGAAAGGGTTGTGTACGTTTGTGGTGCGGCCAAACTTACTGAGGGTGGAAGCAACAAGTGCCAGAGCAGCCAGGAAAACAATGTAGCCTAAAAAGGTCTGGTTAGTCTGCGGAGTATCATCCATGTTTGCTAAAGATCTACTACTACGCGTGGCAGTGCTTTCTCTCTTCGCGCGACTTACAAACTGTTCGAAAAATTGTTTTGAATTTCAAGCATCGGGTTAGCTTTCGTCGCTGCGACGTGGCCGATCCACGGACACGTCGTCTCCGATAAAGATTACTGCATGCCACGATATCGATAACAATTATACAACTGCTTCTGCTGCTTAAATCTTTGTTTACCTCCTCTTTTCTATCTCGCTTTATTTGCTTTAGAATTACCTTTTGCTTTAATTGCCTCTTTCTGATTGTTTACGTTTTGTTGTTCGAGGTGGGGAAAGAGAGAGTGTTGTAGTTTTCCTTACCGAAAATAACCAGGATGATGACAAACGCCGCGAAGAAAATCATGTATTGCGTGGTGGGATCGAAACCACCACCGATGGGCGGCGGTGCCGTCGCCTTCTGACTGAGCATACCGGCTCCCAAGTTGCCCATCTTGCTGAGGAAGTCTCCTTTGCCTGTGAGAGACTCCTTCAGCTTGGCCTTTTCTTCCTCCGGCATATCGAAGCCATCCAGAGCCTCCAGCAATTTATCCAGAGATGGCATCTTGAAATCGCCAGGGCTCGGTGCCGGAGCGTCCGCTTCCTGCACTCCCTGCAGCAGGTCCATCGCTGCGTCCATCTCCATTTCTATCTATCTGGAGTGTAGTGATTAGCTCGAATACACGTCGCTCAAAGCACTGCCATGAAAATCACCATTGCAGCGAAATTGTAGACGCGTAATCAATATTGCATGTTAAACAATTTGAAGCACGTACGATATGTGTGTTATCTACGATTATCTAGCCTCCGTTTAGGCTTATCCTCCAGCGTATATTTCGAATCGTACATCGCGCGCGAAATCGATAAACCGGAGAAGCGCATTTTCGTTAACATCAACAAGAATTCACCAAAAGTGGTTATCTGAAGAGATCGACTAATGTTTTGGGAATAATCGATATCGCAAATGGCATCTTACCAGATAGGAAGACGACGATGATTCCTGGTAGGATGAAGACGGAATTGGGAAAGGCATGCTCGATGGGTCCATCCTGGCCACCACCGCTCAAGTCTACCATAGCGTTCGATCAACTTGTTGCAACTACGTACATATATTTTTGACCTTTTCGCGGAATTTCGATGGTTTTATATATCCTGCGTAATCCTGAACCCGTACAATTGATTCACGCATTGCACGGTACATCCTGCGCGCGCAACTTCTTACAGTTACCTTTAGCTCTGTTTTCCTTTTTCTTCAATAGAAACCTTTGGGTCAATGCATCATCAATTCATTTATACATGTTAAATCAATATTGATAATAACAGTTCATATAGCATACAGCTGACGTCAATAACAAATAGCACATTTATCGATTGTTATAAATTGATTATACTTTTAGTGTATACAATGAAGCTCAAATTTAATCAAATAAAGTTCGTATTATGTAAGATGAGTAACAAGCATAGGTATTTTTGTTTTGTATTGAAACAAGTATAAATGCATTAGTATTTATAGTTCTTTTGTTAATTGATCAGATAAGAAAATATATGTTTACTTGTATCAATAATTATTATGTTTTTACTGAAACATTTACTGGTATTTCAAAAAAAAATATGCTTAATGTGACAACCTTTGCATTAAATTGCTTCGACGATTTCAACATTTTGTTTTACTCAACTTCGCTATTTTTAACAAGACACAATTTAAATTATTATACTCTCTTTGCAGCAGTAATATTATTTAAAATTATTCGTATATTTTTTTAGTTTTTGTATTGCTAGACTTCGCTCTTTAATATAATTAAAACTTTTATAATAATATCATGATAATAATATATAATAACATGATGCGAATTTTTAATGCATGACTGTGCTTTTTGTGTGTTTTCTCTTTCTTTGAAGAGAAATAATTTTCAACGCATGTTTCAAAAATAGTAAGTAATTAAAGGAAATAGTTATTAGTTTTAAATGGATTAATTAATTTATTGTTTTTAAATATATTTATTAAAATTGAAAGATATTTTACATACATCATGATGTAAAGGAATAAGACTATTTTGAACAATAGTACAGGGAATAATTCCTAAGATAAAACATATGTAAAATCGATACAAACCATAATAAGAAAAGTAGTACCCTTTTAGTAAAAACGTTTCCCGCATTAAAATTACATAACATTCAAATAATAAAAGAAAGAGCATCCTCGTCTCTAAAGTAAGACTGGTATGTACAACATGGAATCTTTGGAAAGTTTATGTTTTTTTTTTCTTTTGGGAAGAGGACGAATCTATCTGCGCTCTTTACAACTTGGCTTCGGCGGCCTTCAGCAGAGGTCCAAGCTTTTGGGCGAGCATCACGTTACCGGTCAACTTCAATTTTCCCTTCATGAAAGCGGTCTGCGGGTTCAGCTTGCCGGTGGCCAAACCGACGAAGTCATCATCGGAGATGGTCAAGGTGGTGTTCGGCTTTCCGGACTTGGGAGTGCCTTCGTGGATCTTGCAGCTCTTCAAATCCATGGCTAAAATGTATAATTAAAGTAATGTTATAATTCATTGATTAATTTTCATTTTGCTCACTCCAGGTCTTCACGATTTTCCCATCCTTGGTGATGTTGTATAGGAAGATTCCGTTGACCGATTTGGCCTTCTCCGGACTCTCCTTGATCTTCTGGGCGATCATCTCGAAAATAGCATCACTCTGGAGAGACATGTTTGATGTTGTTGCTGCTTGCTGTACTGGCTTCACTACTGCTATTACGGAGTTTAAGTCCACGTAAGATCCTGAACACAAAAAAAATAATAAAATAAGATAAGCCAACGTTTCGAAGCGCACTAAATTTAAACGCTCGAGAAACGAGTATTTGTAATCACATTACAAAAAAAAAGAAACATTGTTCATTTTTTTTCCTAAATTGTATACAAGTACATTGGATTAAAGGTCGCGATAGTTAACTCTCTTTTTTTGTATTGTTTACGTCACATATTAAATATTACGGAGAGTTCAATGTTCATGGTATATTCATACGATTATACGAAACATGAATATACAACAGGCTAAAGTCAAATTTAGAAAGTTACTTGATGTAATTATACTAAACATGAAATTAGGATCATTCCGGCTATTCAATAATTATTAATTAACTTCTCCCATTGTATTTTATAAGCAATTTTAGGTTATGTCGGTATATTTAAGAATAATCTGAAAAGCGAGAAGTATAAGTTTTCTCTAGTTGAATAGGCGAAAGTAAGAAAATATGTAATGAGACTACCTTTTGTTAGAATCGAGGAACAACTACTAACTGCGACTTTCGAGAAAGCTGTGCGTGTTGGTTGCAATCGATTTTAAGTGTATAGTGACAACGCACAATGCGAGGTGAACATAGAGGGAGTGATCAATTACCATCGATAAAACCACTCGAAATTGGCTTGTCGAAATAGCACATAACGATTTATATTCACTCATCATATTAATTGATAACGAAAAGTCCATAAGTCAATTGAAGAAAAACAACTTATAATTAGGTCATTGTTGCATTCAATAGGATTACTCTCGTAACTGTGATTGCAGAGTGTATTTAGCAATTTTCTTGTAATTTTCTTTATATATGTATCTAATTAATGATATCAATTGTAAAATGATTTAGATGCATCGTAATGTTACTTTTGAAAATATCAGTAATCAATGATTTTTACAATTTAAAATTGAAAGTGGATTTGATAACAACAACCAAAAAAAAAAGTAAGATTAGAGTTTGATGGTAATCGAGCGGATGTGACGGGAGAAAGAAAGTTAATTGTTGGAAGATTCTTGTTACCTGATATGACGATTTTGTTGCTTTCCGCAACGGAGGTTTCGAAGTGTATCCTGTTCCCTTCTCTCCACATGTCAACTTTCAATGTTTCCCCTGGTACTACGGGTTTGACGAAACGGCACTACAGATGAAGATCGTGTTAATATCGTTATTAACGTTTTTTTTTTAAATATTCTAGTTGATATACCTTAACTGCTTTGAATAACTTCAAGTCGTTTCCTGCAAATGCTTCCATGACCAGCTTGACGGAAATGCCCAGAGTGCAAAGTCCGTGCAGAATCGGTACCTTGTGCCCAGCCATTGCAGCCATATTTGGGTCAATGTGCAATGGATTATTGTCGCCTGAAAGTTAACCGAAGGTTTAACTTTCTACCTTAAGATTTTTTATTTAGTTACCGCTCAATCTGTACAAAGCCGCTTGATCGACGCTCGTTTTGAAGGAAACGGAAGTGTCCGGGTTGCGCTTCGGCTTAGGTACGCACGGTACCAGCTTGTCGGATTGGCGAGGACCACCCCAGCCTCCTGCGCCAACGGCGAAAGATACTACCTGATTCTTGTAGAGCAGTTTACCCTCGTTGTTGTAGCTTAAAACTATGTAAAAAGGACGACATAAAATAGCGAAAGAAGTATATATCTACTTGAATTACCATCATAAATTAAAACTGATCCGGATCCTTTGTCTAGTTTATCGACAAGTTGGATTTCGCTGCGAAAACTACCGTTGCTGGAAGCTGCAATATCTTCGTAGACTTCGAGATATTGCTCACCGTGCAGGATGTTCTCGAAAGAAATCGATTTTCCTGGAATGAGGTTTTCATCCATTTTGACGGAGAACGTGGATTTAAGTGCTGGCAGAATGAAGAAGGTTGGTAGAGCGGAGAAATCCTCGTGGTTCTCGTATAGGAATTTCAAGTCTCCGGGCTTTGCCACAGAAGCTCCCACTGGAAATCAACGTTAAATATCTTCAAATGCTAACGTAGTATTATTGATGGTTACCTCCTAAGGCGTACAAAATCAGATCCTTATCGTTGTATTCGTAGACATCGCTGTCGTCTGAACTTGAACCTTTCGCTCCGGACCTCAAACCTTCCAAGGAAGACATCAAAGCACCTGTTGCTTCCTGGATGCTACCCATGTGTTGCATGCTGTTCATATCGGTGATCTTATCCCAGGAATCGCGCACCTTCTCAACGGAAACACCGTCAGCGATAGTCTGCCTCATCAGTTTACCATCAGCTCTGACTATCTGGCACTTTCCGGCCCAACCGGCCCCTGACTCAATCATGGATCCAGTCTCCGTGCAGTTCTCATGGCAAAGCCAAGCCTATTCGAACAACTTAAAACTCGACCTTTCGCGTTTTCGTTTCAATATACTTACAACAACTGGAGCAATCAACTCCGGTTTAAGCTCAGCGTAGAGCTCTGGTGGTAAGATGTCTTCAGTCAGACGACTCGCAGCTGTTGGTACGATCACGTTGCAGTGAATGTTATTTTTTCTACCCTCGATGGCCACTGTACTAGACAATCCAACGATTCCCATCTTGGCGGCAGAATAGTTGGCTTGACCAAAGTTACCTAAACAACACACAGTTTGTGTTAAAAAACTAACATTTAGTTAATTTCAGCAATTACCATATAATCCTGAATTGGATGCAGTCATGATGATGCGGCCGTAGTTCTGCTTCTTGAAGATCGGGAAAGCCGCCTGAGTAGTCTTGAAGGAACCCTTCAGATGGACAGCATGCACCAAATCTGCAGAAGAAAGGTATTTCTTTTTCAAATATATTCTTTTTCGAGTTAATTAACTTTATCTCACCCCAATCGACGTCTGAGATACGAGCAAAGCTTTTGTCCCTCAAGATACCAGCGTTGTTGATCAGGACATCGACGCGTCCGAAGTTATCCAAAGCGGTTTTTATTACCTTATCACCATCCACAACGGAATTGTAATCCGCAACGGCCGTTCCACCTACATACATAAACAACAATTTTAACTTGATAATTTATCGAATTTAGGTAAATCATAGCTCTTTGCCAACGAATATTTTCCAGTCGCCAAATTTAACATAAAAACAAACATGAATTGTTTTATTAAATAACTTCTTCATTTTCAAAACCGGTATTTTGTAAGTTAGCTTATAATTTGAGAGAATTGTTTAAATTTAATGACTTGCTAAATTTGGAATCAATATGAACAAAGAAACAAAATAAGTCAAAGGTCATGGTTTATGATTGTATTGCTTTATGAATTATCGAAGTTTAGTACATAACCAATTATTATGCACGAATGGGAAATTATAATTAGAAAGTTGATAATTAAAATGAATGATCTTTTGTCCGGCAAACTGCGTTATTACCATTTTTCTTGATTTCCTCGACGACGTCGTCGGCGGCCTTCGAGGAGCTACCATCTCCGTGTCTTCCGCCACCCAAGTCGTTAACTACCACTTTTGCACCTTTTGAGGCGAACAGAAGGGCGTACGCTTTTCCAAGACCTGCCCCAGCACCTGTGACGACGACAACACGACCATCGTACCTCAAATCGCTCATTATATCAGCAATGACAACTCAACGTAACGACAATAACAAATACGTCTATTCTCGACGATACTTTCGGATGGATTGGTGAACTCTGGTCCGATCCACTTGTATAGACGTACGTCGTGTGACACTTGCGGCTTGCGGTATCGGAAAGTGGAGAGGATTGCTTTATTTGAACACTCAAAATCAGCTGTTCTTACGGCCAAAAACACATAACTTTATGGAGTTAGATCAAATATTAAATACGAAGACATGGGTTTATTTTCCATTTATTTATTTCTTAAAATAAAAAGAGAAAGTAAAATCTAATAATAATTTACATCACTATGCAACTAAAATAGCTTACGTTGAATCAAATTCTATATAATCAGCTACTCATATGTTGCGTTGGTTGCATATTTGCAATTCATTTAAAGTCCTTGTTAATTTTGTAAAATGTATAGCAAATTTCTCATTCAAAACCGTCAATGAATGTATACTTATTTGCACGATTAATATATTTGTCTTTTGTGAAATATTTCATTAACAAATATAATTTGTTTACTGTTAAATAAGACATTATATTTTGTTTTTACTACACTGTTTAATCATCATAATTTTATCAACTAAAAATAGAAAGTCTTATTTATCATTATTGTGGATGTTCAAGTTGTTTTTGTTGCCTGTAATTAATTTAATTGAGAAACTGTACAACAAAACACATGATAATTAAATATCAGCGTAATGCAAAACTTGTTTTTTGATTCAATTTACATAAAAGAAACTACTAGTATACAAATATTAATAGATTCTGTCCGCCCTTTGTAGCAATAATAGATTTTTTATTAGTTCAAGCTGTTTAAAACATACAAAATATTACTATTTGTTTTTGTTACAAAAATTGCTGCTTCCATGTATCTGTAAACACTGACCGTTGACATAACGAAAACAGTAAATGAAACCATAAATCAAGCAATTCCTTTGTTCAAGAGCAAATAAAGAAATAAATACAGAAGTTGTATTTGCAAATCGATATTTATATAATGGAGCATTTTAAAGTCGAGATTATAAACCGATTTGTTAAATAATAAACATTATGTTATTGTATAAACAATAATGTATAGATTGTCTCAAACAGTGGCTTGAATGATATTCAAATATCCTGTCACAAATTTGAAGTCTTTTACAATGTTTTAGCTACAAATTAATAAATACTTTTAAAATTAAATATAAATATTATGGCTCTATTTCTGTGCTTGTCAATCATAAAATAAATCTGTTAAAGTTTGCTTTTTATTATAATTCAAATTGTTTTAAAACTACCTGATTATATCTAATTGTTCTAGTTAATGTTTTACGAATACTAATATTGTATTTATTGCATATTGTAACAGAATTTTGTATGCAATTGACGTCGCCAATACGCTAATCCTGTTCGATAGGGCTTAGGTCAAGTGATTGTGCAGGAGTTGAGACGATAAACACTATTGAAATATATATTTGCTGTTTAATTTGCGTATAGATACTGTGTACATAAGTGAACTAATTAATTATATTTTTACAGGTGATAACAGAATATCAAAGTTAAACAATAATGATTTTTTTGTGGAAGAAACTGAAAATATTTATAATATAAAGAAATTGACGAAGGAATGTGCTTTTGTATAACAAGGATAATTGTAGATAATGAAATTGCGAGCTGGTCTTTAATACAGTGCAGTGATAATGAAACATAACATGTTATGCAATAACATACAGAGCTTAGGGCAAATACCCTATGCAGTAAACAAGTTAATTGAAGCATCTTTTTTTAAAGAAATCTTAAAGTTGATAGTGATTGTTCAACATATTAATTGAACACAGTTTATTGGAGGCAAATCTAATACGGTAATTTGCATTTAATAATACTGTTGTGTCACAGGGTTGGAAATGTGGACATAGTGAAACGCTGTTGTTGTGAAGTCTTAGTAGTTGTGAGTGTTCTTTCCTTGGCTTATTAACTTGGACACAATAAATAACAAATAATTGAATCTTGTTAACAAATTGTAGATTAGGTTTTGTTTGTATACATTGAATTATCAAAGGATTAAAAGTATGAATTTAGGAGATGGTACGTGAACTAATTTTAGGTGTTCTTTGTTCCAATGTAAGTAACATGTTAAGCAGTAGTACTTCCAAGTGTAAATGACCAATGAAGTGCTTAATCTATTTACAGGAATATCTAATAGTGATGCGTGTGAGAGATAGTCTCATATTTTGGGTCGTCCTAAATAATTAGTAGATAAGAGACGGTAGATAAGACGGAGAGATTCGCATGAGGAAACGAGGAAAGTAGGCAAAGGACAGTGGATGCAAACAGGCGCGATTATGCAATAAGGATTTGCCGGTAGCCAGGGTGACGGGTTCGGATTTTTGTTTATTGTTTTGTTTGGCCGCTGTGAATAGAAATACGTACGTCCTGTCAGCGCATCGGAAGAAGGATATTTCCAGGTAGAAAAAGAGAGAGTGGATCGCCGCTTGCAGCAGGAAGAGAAGGTGAAGTATGGATAGAACGCGTGGTGTAATCAGTATGTGTGTGTGAGATATTTGTATTTGGCGGGTTTCAATTTTGGGTCAATTTTCCGCGTGTGCGCTTCCGCGCCGCTCTCCCACCATTCACCTCCCGACACACGTGCACACTGTAAAATGCATTTTCTATAAAATTATTCAATGTTACCGTATCTTTTGTTGTGAAAGGTACGACCATATTCCGAGTCGCCAGAGTGGTATATCAGGCAGTGGGCAGCAGCAGCACCAGCACCTCAGACTACATCCGCATCCGAAAATTTACGTTTCAAAAAATTTTTTCATACCATTTTCAGTTTCGTGGTAAGAGATCCATTACGTTTACTTTTACCAAGCACGCTTCGCGCACGGCTCTGCAACCCCAGAGGGGAGTGCGTAATCCCTTCCTTTCCTTCTCGTCCTTTAACCTTTTTATTTATTTTTTTCTATACGCATACGTGCATTCTGGTTAGTCCTAGCGGGGCGCGGTTGTTCGTTTTTTTTTCTATATGCGTTCGTTCCTTCTCCGTTCCATGCAGTATGTTCACTTCTTTTTTTTTTTGCACGTTCCATTCTCTCTCTTTTCTGCCGTATTCCAGATTTATCTGTTGTATTTTGGCCACGTGTTTTATTCGGATCTTGCGTCAATGTCGTTCTCGTCTATTACCCATCGCTATTTTTGCATTAGCTGCCCATGATTAATATTTTTTTTGCGCGTCACAAGAAGAGGCCTCATCGAAAAATCACCCATCGCCCATTTTATACATCTATTTTTTTTTTGTAAGTGCTCGTGATTTATTTTTAGTAATGACTTGCAAACGTTCCATCTTCTTTGCCCACTTTGTACTACTCTTTAAATATATGTTTATAAACACGGCCACGTTATCATAGAGTGCGTGTATTTCATAAATATTACTCGAATCTGGAGATTACGTGCAACACGTTTGGGGGGGATTCCCGTAGTTGTATTTTAATCATCTGTTCTCTTCTTGTTATTGCAGATAGAATAATTTAGATAGTATACCACGATGGTACAGAGCGAGCACAACGTTTCGGAGTCCGAGGACTCCCCGCCGATGATGGAACACAAGAATCTTGCCAAAGGCGTCGACGAAGGCAACTACAAACTTATTGGATGGGCGGCCGACACCACCGGTCGTCGTTTGATCGACGAGATTTGTCAGATAGCTGCATACACTTCAGACAATCAATTTTCGCAATACATTATGCCTTTCAGTGATATCCGCCTACTCTACAGGTATGTTCAAGAGAAAATTACATCAGAACTATTGTAAACTTACAAACTTCTTTATCACAAGACACAGCGACATTCAAAAAATAGTTATTTACTTTGAATGATCTAAATTATAATAAGCATTTACGACAAGAATAAAAATCATTGTTGTGTAGATGTGATTTAGAATTAACTTGGATACATTTAGATCACATTGTTGTGCGACATAATTTTGTAAGAGCATCGAACAATATTCAGTTTAATTGCAGAATCAACAATATGACAGCATTTTCATCATATGTGATCATCATAACATTAGTAAAGATGTGATTTTAGTAGTATTAATCATATAACAATATTAGTTCCAAGAAAAAATATATATTTAAAGTCATCTAAATTATATTCAACTATTCCAACATAAGTTGAAAGAAGCAAAAGTAAAGTGATTTGAAATCTAATAACATTCAAAGAAATGTTGTAGTAAGAAAAGAAACTTATTTTTTTTTTAAATATCAAAAGTACAACAATTTATTAGTGATATCTGTATTTCTTTGAAACTGATAAAATTGTGGGAATGTCAATGGTATTAAGAATTATTAGATATGAATGAATGAATAATGTTTGATGTTATGAATCATTTATTTATTGCTTTGTATATACAAATTGTTGCGTGTTTTAATGAAAATGCTTAATTAGAAACTGTTTGTTTAATATTAATTAAAACAGTTTTTATCTTATCATTTCATTTCCTGCAGTTATACAAGTGAAGAGTTCCAATTGATGTAAATACTGCTTAGTGATAAGATGAAAATATTAATTACTGTTAAAATTATGATCTTTCCAATTGAATTTTGAAATTTTTAGGATTTTTTGTTATACGTTGCAACAAGTACATAAGTTATCAGTTTTTTTAGTTGTCAATTGTTGGAAATTAATTTGAAAGTTAAAATGAAATTGTTTTTTTTTGCAGACGCCGCCACAGCATCCGTGTGATGAACATGGGTAAGTATAGGATGCTCAAGGATATGCGCACGAATAAATTCGTGAAGACCAAGAGCGAGATATCCGCCCTCACCGACTTCGTCCAGTGGCTTGAGAACAATCGCGGTGACGCCAAGGATGGAATCATCCTTATTTTCCACGAGTTCCACAAGTCCACACCCGCAATGCTGTTGGAGTCCTTGCGTAGGCACAACCTCTCGGAGAGATTCGCCGCCGTCGTTAAAGGATTCGCAAACAGCTTCAGCCTGTCGCAGGCCAAATGCGCAAACACGACAAAGTCCTTCAGTCTGCGCGTGATGTCCAAGGTAAATAATGGATTTATCATTTAAAAAAAAAGGATAGCAACCAACTAGAGTCCATCTTCTAGGTCCTTTTGAACAGGGATGATGACCTGAGTTCAGCAGTGATTCGCGCTCAGACTTGCTTCGACATTGTGATGCACTTGGGCCAAAGTGAGAGACCCGATTTGGAGTCGCAAGGGAGCGGCGACGCCAACATCAGCAACGAATTGTTAATTAAGATGATCGCGCCCTTCACGAATCCCGTCACCGCCGAGGAGGACGAAATCAAAGAGTTCAAAGTATGTATTAGATATGTTATATTTTGTAGCTAAAAATCGTTACATAATTTCTTCGAATCAAAGGTTCTCCTGGATCGTCAGAACACATTCAAACCAGTGTTTGGAGCCCTACTCAAAGCCACTCCCACTGAGAGGCAACACGCTAGTCACCTGCGCCGTCTTCTTGCGGAGAACAACATAGATTACGAGAAAGTCAAAGTGGCCTTCGAGAGCAGCGCGAAGGACGGTTTGGAGGCTGTGCTTAAAGCTGAGGTATATTTACTTTCTTCCAGGTGTTTAATGGCATGTAATAGCTTTGTTTTCGCTGCGCAGATTTTGAATGCGAAGGAGGAAGATATGAACGAGCTGTTGGAGATTTTGGACTGCTTCTTCGATCCCGAAAAGAAAGCTGTACAGCCGAAACCCAGATTCTATCAGAACAACGGAAGGTTCAGGAAGAAGAGCGAGAGTAGGAGCGATAAACCCATGAACAAGAACAATAATAATAATGTGAAAGAGGAGAGCATCGAAGTCAAGGCGGAGGTGGAGGATGAGGTTGTTACGGTAAAGATCGAAGGTGAAGCTCCGATCCCACAACCGGCCGCCGCGGCCCTTCCGATAATCGCATAAATTCGATATGTGATCTCTAGTGCCTTGCATTTAAATTTAAACCAATTGTAAAATTGACTTTTCCTTTATATCATTTATTATTATTTCCTTTTCTCTATTATTTTTTTTTCTTGTTGAGTTTGCTGTTTATTTTATGAGAGATTTTATTTTCATTTTGTTACTTATTTTTCTTTTCTTTTTTTTAAATGATTTATTAATTATAGATTAATTAATTAATTTTGGAATGGTCACATTTACAATATATTTTCTAATCATATTACAAGTTTATTTCCTTATTTCGATGTTTACCGCTTTCAAAAGAGAGAAAAAAAAACAATAACTTACAAACTATTAAGTCATTAATCGAGCTTTGCTCTGTTACAGAAACACACAAAATTAATATAACACACAGAGACAAACAGATACACAATTACACACACACGTATATGTTTTATATATATATATTTTCTGTTTCTAATAGGAGGATTATTTTTCATTTTTCGTTTTCTTTACTTTTACATAAAAGAAAGTCATGTGGATCGTGATAATTGTATTTCTTTTAAGTTGTGATTCTATATAATAGGTGGTTATAATTTTGTAACGTAATTCTATTTGTAATTACCGTTACAAAACCTGTTATTTATTGTAATGTTTAATATTTAATAAATAAATTTCTAAATAAATAATATACAACACTCTTCTAACATCCCCCCAATATTGTTGTAGTCTCAACTAAAATATACATTTTCGCACGTGCGTTTCTACTATTATTTAAAAAAAAATCGGGACGTTACGTAAATTCCACTGAGGATTAAAAAAAATCGGGATTTGTGAAGAACTCACGTCGTCTAAATTTAAACTTATTTCTAAAACGGGACGCTCGAAACGGAACATCCCGAAAATCTATTTACAGTTTTTAAGTGAAATATATTTGCGTATATACATTAAAAACTGAATCTGTTTGAATAGAATTATTTTGCAATTAGCAACCGCAGTTACGTAATCCGTTGATTTAAATATTTTATTTGTCAATGTTTAAATTGAAATTGTAAAATTTTACCTTTTTTGTACAACTGGCCCATTAGCTCAGTTGGTTAGAGCGTCGTGCTAATAACGCGAAGGTCGCGGGTTCGATCCCCTCATGGGCCAAATTCTGTTTTATATTTTTAATAATTATAAATAAGTTGAATATAATTTAGTTTTATTATTGATTTAAGTTTGTGTAACAATATTAATTTATACGTGTAAAACTTCGTTCATATCCTAATAAAAGTTTAAAAATTTAGTGATTTCATATAAGAACATAATTTTTATATAATTTAACTAGAAACGAAACATAATTGAAAATTCAATAATAATATTACAATATTTTTATAGGCTAACATTAGGGCACTCAACTAACAGCCAATGAAAACGTATAAATTTAAATTTGTTCACAATTATTTTGGTTGTTTAGTAGAGATGTAAATGTATTATTTGTATTGATGCAAGTTTAATTGTTATAAATGTTATAAACAAAATAAGTTAGAAATCTCAATGTATTCCTCATAAATTATATTTAAGTTGGATTTATTTTATAAAACTTAATAATTCATCATAATTAATTATTGTATTTTATTTTCAATTATACTTATAAGTTCTTAAATATTAATTTGATATAATTTTTACATCTAATTATGTAAAATATTCTTCGACTAAACAACAATAATTAATATATTGGATCAAAGTTAAATATTGAATAGAAAAGTATATATTTTGTATTGATTTTGTAAATTCAGCTAAACTATAATATCAATAATATAAATAATAATTTAATTATAATTAGAATTAAATAAATTAATCATGTCTCTCCATACAATCAATATTTATATTTAGATGGATTGAACTTCCGTTTAGAGTTTTCTAATTTGCTTTTTGGTATTACCGAAGTCATTCAGTTAGGTAACGACAGATGGCGACGCTTGTATCGAACATCACAGATTGACATTCAAATTCTTGCAATTGTTTTCCTTATTCGCACCAAAGGGATGCGATTGCAAAATGATCAAATGCATCATAAGAACCTAAAGAAACGATTAATCTCGAAATATGTGCTCTATAAATGTTTAATAAATAATAAAAAAAAATAATACAAATATGGTTATCCGCATCTGACTCATTGATTTATATGCGATATAATATTAATAAATGTAAAAATATTCCACAATTTCTTGAATACTAATTACCTCCGCCGCTTTTTGCAATTATAATTCTTTTTGCATAAAAATTCCGTGCATGCGCAGCGAGATGTTAACATTCTTACGGCCAAGGTTGTTATTATTAAAGCCGAGAACAACAACGGAATTGCATTTCTCTGCTTAAAGAATAATATAATAAAATAAAAATTAATAATACAAATAATATATATATATATATGCTGATGTAATTTGTGCAATGAAAATAAATTTGGATGGAAAAGTTGTGTTGTTTATTAGAGAGACAGAAAATTGCTTGGTAATTAAGTAGAAACGCCTCTAATTATGTGCAGTCTACGTACTCGGCGTTTCCGGTAAAACTGGAAGTTGCGATAAATATATCAAAGTAACCGTTATGGCTGTGGAACAAACGAAAACTAGGAATAAAAAAAAACAAGAGACATTCCTGTAGTTGTTGCAATTGTTTGGTGAGAATTGGATGCACGTAGACAATTGCTGTAAATGAATTAATTGGATGTACGACGTACGATATTTTCAGTTTTATTTGGTCTGCGTTTTCTGGGTCATCGCACTATTATGCAAAAGCCTCTCCTCGTCTCGGGATTCTCGAGAAGCTTGAGAACAGTTTAAATTGTCCACCGCTTATATTATATACTTATTTTTTCGTCTCTCTCTCTCTCTCTGTGTGTGTATGTACTTTAATGAACACCTGTTCTTTGCCGCCATATTGAGTGGAGCGTGATAACTGGGCAGCTGCTTCCGGTTTCTGGGGATCTAACAGTGGATCTTAGGACGTAGACCATGCATATATGCATAGGATAAATAACAGAGTGAACGGTGTTCTCATTGCACGATAAGCGGGCATAAACCGTCCAATTCTGTTTACTTCGATCCCAATAAAAAAATACACCCTTTTTTTTATTATCTATGCATTAATTGTAAATTCAAATTTTCCGCGGTTATTTTGATCAGCTTTAATTGTCGATTTGCAGAACGGAGATAAACGCTGTTTAATTGAGGCAAGAAAAGAAAATCTGCGCGCAACTCCGGATGCAAACAGTTCCACCATATTTTGATAATTGCAAATTAAACACAACAATCGTTATGATAATTTGCAGTCAATCATTTCGAATCTGTATTTTCTGTTTTGTTAAACTATTTTTACAATAAGTTAAATGTATTATTCCAACACTATGGGCTTCGATCAGTGCGGATTTACTGTTAAAGTTAAAAAAAATCTATATTTATATTCGTTTTAACTCTTTGAGAGGTCAGAAATTCCTAAACTTGTTGACCTAACAAATTTCTAGACAACTGAATCTGACAGTTACGTCAACTGAATCAACATTGGATGATATAGCTTAACAAGATTAATCCAACCAAATTAAAGGACAATTCCTCTTTTCTGGATGTTTCCTAGAAAATTATAATAATGCCCCACTAGTCATATTCAAAAGGTGGGAGAAAAGAGTTAAACTCCTCGATTAGTCCCATTTCAAACAGTCCAAGTTATTGCTGATTTGTTTAATAATACATACATCAGTTTCCATTTATCGAATATTGCGGAGAGGAAATACAAAAGGCGTGTTGTCTTATTTAGAATTTCTTTTTTTGGCGGTTTCCTGCTGCAGACGTCACCTTATTAAATCCATTTCCTGTCATTTCCTTAAGTGCTTGGATATGAATGAATGTCACGGTGATCGGGAATAATATATATTGCCTGAATATGACCAAAAACTATAAAAAAAAATATCAGAAGCAAAAAACAGGATTTATAAAGGAAGCAGCTCTGTTCAGTGTTGCGTGAAAATACAATGTGACCCGTTTCGTGATGGAAGAAAATTAATAATTTTTACAATATCGAAGAAGCACGAGATTCGCAAATGCAACTTTCCAATGCGAGCTTCTGATGTTCTTTGAATTTTTTTTTTATTTATTCGCGAAGGAAAGTAATGCTAAGAAAACCATAAAACAATTTTTTTTAGTGGCTGCAATAATTTCATTTCCATGTATTTATTAGAACAATAATGATATTTTTCTTTACTAAAACTTCTGTTTATTTCTTGTATAAATGATTTAAACTAATTTAATTGCTTTGTCTGTAAAATGATTAAGTAATATTCTAAAAACTTAATTTATTATGTAATTTTTTTAAATGTTTAATTTGGTACAAAAAGATTGTATTAAAACAAGTTTTTTTTTGATATTATGTAGTTTTAATAATTATTTAATAATTATTTTGTTTTATGTTTAGTTGAAAATTAATGTAACAAAATACGTTTTTTTTTTTAAATAATTTTCAACATTATTTATTATATATTTTTAAGTATATTAATTAATTTAATTCAAGTGCGATGAATAATGTAATGCGTTCAATTTTATTGTGTTTGTTTATAATCAATTGCGTGTATTGATATTAGTTTGTAATTAATGGAGTTTCTGCATTCTGCGTAACTCAATTTGTTGCTATTATCATGTTGCTGTGTTAAATTACACCCTAAAATAGTAAACATGTAGCAAGAGCAACTAAAAAACCCTGACGATTTATCGATTTATAGAAATTACAATTATAAAGTGGTGATTTCTACGAGAGATTTGATCTTAATATTTACAACAATTCCACAACTTTTAATAATAATAATAATTTATTGGCCATACATCAATAAATAAGAAGAAGAAAAAGTACATTTTATACATAAATATATTTTAACATACAATAAAAAAATATATATTAATAGGCTGGCCGAAGGGCTAACGACCGAGGTCTTTCCGCCCAACAACTTTTAATTATTTGTAAAATAGAAATATTTCTATAAATATCAATACAAAATTGCGATTTGATTAGCATTAATTATTTAATGAAAGTAATACATTATTTGCATGCATTGTACAATGTGTTTTCCATTTACCGTCT